TATATATATATATATATACAAACTTCTTTAGAAACATTATACATCAACAAAAAACATTATACTTATGAATCAATTTTTATTTCATTTAAATTTTAAAAAAACATTTTAAAAGATCAAGAAATTTTACCATTAATAAAAAGTTACAGAATTGATGAAAAATAAGATTTTATCACAAAAAAGTAGGGGTCTGTCGTTCCCCTACCTAACCTCTCTACTACTACCCTTTTGACAATTTATATAAATAAAGAAAATATTATGGGAAAAGTTGCATGAATGCATTATATTAATACTGCAGATTAAATTATGTTAGATTTCAGTTAGATTCCACTGCTGAAGATTAAATTTGATAGATTTCTCCCATTTTATTTTTAGCTTCCTGAGTTGTTTGCTGATTTAGGTGGTTGTTTAGGTTTATACATTGGAGTATCTGTCATATCTATCATCGAATTTCAAGAACTGTTATTTCACATACTAGTTCTGTTTGCAACAAAATTAAATCATAGTTTCTACATCGACTCTGGTGGTTCACTAAACGACGGAAGAGCCAGAAGCCGGTCAGTTGATGATTTGATCAGATTCTCAAACAAAACTTATGTTCGTGATCTTAGGCCTGACGGACCAACACCGCCATCAGTTTGGGTTCGTGGAAAAAAAGGATGTAAATGTCAAAATGCATTCACAATCAGTGATGCTCAATATTTGTAAGTTTTTTAATAGATACTTGCATTCATAATTAGAATTTCTTTCGAATTTTGTTTACAATTTCAGAAAAGAAAGAACTAATTTAATATAATTACTAGATCAATAACTCAGACTGTTTCAAATTCAGAGCACATCGAAAATACCACTCGAAACTTAAAAATGTTTTATATCCCATAAATGTTCTATGGGATTCATGTCGGGGGATTAAAAAAGCAAAATTATTCGCTGGAATTGTCCAGAGCGTTCTTTAATTTAAATGCGAACAATTAAGGCCCAGTGACACGGCGCATTGTCTTCCATAAGGCTTCCATCGTTGATTGGGTACATGAAGTCCATGACTGGCAGAAAGTGGTCTCCAAGTAACTGAATATAACCATTTCCAGTAAATTATCAGTGCAATCGGACCATAGGATCAAGTCCATGCCGTGAAAATGCAACCCAAATCATCATGGTTGTTGTTGTAGTTCATTTACGTCGCACTAGAGCTGCACAATGGGCTATTGGCGACGGTCTGGTAAACATCCTTGAGGATGATCCGAAGACATGCCATCACAATTTTGATCCTCTGCAGAGGGGATGGCACCCCCGATTCGGTAGTCCGACGACCTGCACGCGAAGTCGAGCACTTTACGGTAGAACAGTTTAACAAGGACCAATACCGCACACCCTTGGTCCCTACGCAGACTGATCCAAGTGGTCACCCACCCGCACACTGACCGCAGCCAGTGATGCTTGACTTCGGTGATCTGCTGGGAACCGCGTCTTAACGACCAGTCCACTGCGGGACCCAAATCATTATGGAGATATCAAAATATTGCACAGTGCGTAGTTAACAACTTAGGTTCATGGATGGCTTCGTGGAGTGTGCGACGCACTTTAACTCCTTAACGATCGGTTAATTTTCAAGAAAACGGTCATAAAAGTTCCTATTTTTTTGGCTTTTGTATTTGTATTTGATCAGTGCTGCAACTAGTTTAAAATAACCTAACTATCTACAATCACCTTAAAAATATCCTGGTACTGCCCTCTGGTGTGTAAAATGAGAAATAAAATGTTTTCCGGGCAAAAGAAATTAATTAGCTTTATTCTTATTTGCGCGTTACTACTGAACACTCCAGCCCGTCAATATCACTGGAACGAGAAATAGAGGGCGTAACCTCACCCCGTCATTTTCACGGAAGCGAGAAGGAAGGGGTTAACTACCCCATCAGGTCTGACCAGCTGACAAAGCTACAGTTTTCCAGTCGTCTAGGGTCCAACCAATACGGTCACGAGCTCAGGAAAGGCGCTGGACGTGAGGTTCTATTAGTAAAAGCACTAGAGTCGTTTTCTGTTGTCATATATCATTACAGCCAAATTTCTCTGCACTATCCTAAAAGACACGTCCATTACACGTCTTGCGTTGATGCTTGTGATTATTTTACGCAATGTTACTTGTCCATTAACACTGACTATTCTAAGCACACATCGGCGGTCTTGGTCATTCAGTACAGGCGACTGGCCACTACGTTGTCCATGGTGGGAGGTAATGCCTGAAAATAGGTATTCTCGTACTCTTTGACACTTTACAACTATGTTGAATTCCCTCGTAATTTCCGAAATTGAATGTCCCATGCGTCTAGATCAAACTACCATTCAACGTTTGAATTCCGTTAATTCTCGTCTAGTGGGCATAATTACATCAGATGAATAACTTGAACACAAATAAAAGTACTGTCAGTGCACTATCCATACATACATTATATGCTCGACACTACTGACATCTGAATAGTTGCATATTGCTATCTCATGTCTTTTGTCCCCTCAGTGTATAATCTACATATGTATACACACACTTTGCTAGCTATGTTGGTTATTTATGGTCGGCTAATTGAATTAATTAAGAATTGACTACATTAAACTCAGACTAGGGATTTTTTGAAAATTTGTTGACCATTGTTATTCGAAGAAAGACGCAGATCACGGATTAGTGCAAACAGATAATCATTCTAAAGAGTTATATGCCAAAAAGTTGCCTTAACAAATGCAGAAGTTTTGGCTCGTAATTCAGTTACAAACCATTTGAGAAGAAATAGTGCAGCGAAAGTTTTTCAAGATAGGGCAACACTGATATAAATATTTTTCAATGTATATGTAGAAAAAAAATATATAATTTTTTTATGATAAACACATTTTTAATTAAGATAATTTGTGACTTTTAGCTTAGAACTGATGTCAGACATCTATAGTGTTATGTTCTACAATGAAAAAAAAATCAGATAAATTCGTATTTCAAAATATAATGCAACTGTAGCCTTAAGTCTTTTAAAAGTTTATGTTTTCAAATTATAATAATCATGTTTATTTCAGAGCAAAGAGTGATGCCATCCACAATAATCTATGCCTTAACTGCTTATCAGGTGATGAAAATCATCTAAAAAAACATAACAGAAGAAGACATTTTAAAACTGTTATCAGTGCAGCTCCCAGCATCAGTCATTCAAATTAAGATGCATTTCAACAAATATAAAAAAAATAAACAATAGGAAATCTGTAAATAAGTATAACTGCTTTACTTTCGAAAAAAAGTATAATAAAAATATTCCATTTAAGTGAAAAAGTTTTGTGTAATTTCAAAGCATTTTAACCTTTTAAAATGGCACTTTTGAAAAGGTGGAAACAACAACCTTCACAGCAGATAATTATCGATGAGCTTATTATGCTGGATAAAACTAAAAATGCGTAATTAAAATAATGGACCCATCAGATTCCATTCTTCTAACTTCTTTTATGAAAATTGTTCCAATAAAAAATAAAATGAAATAATGATCCAAATATATTAGTAATGTGCTGACGTACATTTACCTCATTTATTAAAATTAGTCAATTAAAAAAACCTCTTGAAGTCAATAATTGCTTATCGAAAACCACTTTAGACCAAAACCAAATTTAGATTTTTTAAAAACCGCTTAATCGTTCAGTATTCTAAATACGAAGATATTTTTGAAAAGTTGCATCTGTAATACCACCATACAGCCCGATCTCGAAGAATCCATTTTCTTAAACACTCATTTTAAGTTGTGCACATTTCTTCGCGCTTCCTTCAAAGTAACGGGGTGAAGTTTCGCCCTCTATTTCTAGGGCCCGTGTTATTTCCGAGCTAGAGTGCCCGAAAGCAATCAAAAATATTAAAACAACCTATTGCTTATGCCTGCAATCATATTTATTTCTCTATTTATACATCAGATGGCAGTACCAGGCTATTTGTTGTATTTAGAGACAGTTTATTTTAGACTAGAGACTAAAACATGCTTGTGATTAACCCAAAAATTAAAAATGCATAATTATATTACACATGCACTTAGTTTAATATAATTTTCTTGAATAAAAAAATCGGCATTTTTAAGACAATTTTCTTCAAAATTAAGGGGTTAAACATGCTCTTTGATCTGTGTCATTTCTTAAACACACATTTCGGACTGTTTTCCTTTTATTAAACATGCATTTTGAGAAGTGTCCAGAATAAAAACTTACCGACGAAATTCTAAATTATATTGATATTTATGATTCACTTAATATTAATTGCTAATGCAATATACATACATAAATAAAATAAAGCTTTTTTCATCCATTAAAGGATCTTATACAATAAACTAATAATGGATATTTTCTCTGTTTGGCAGCATCTTTCAATACAAATTAAAAACAAGCATGTCACATAATCATAATTTGAGATAAAATGTGCAGTGTTTCTCTATTAATTTTAGAATTTAGTTTCTTTTTCAAAACTTTTTGAATTTTGAAAAGTATTAAAAAAATAATTTACACAGTTCAAATTGTGGGTAAATAGAAAAAAAACTAATAAAATTGAAAAATTAAACAGTAACAGATTTGAAATGTTCGAATGTCCCCAACCAGTTTTCTGTATTTTCCAGCATTTCTTTGATACACGCTTTAACATTGATTATATACATGTTAATCAATGCTAACGTTGTTCCGTTTCAAATATAAAACATCTCGATTTTTAATACCTCCATTCTCTTGATTTTTGTGTTCATTTGTCGATTTTGAAAAATGTATGCGAAGATCTCCATTTATCAATTTCAGTTCATTGATCTATTATTCTTAATCTTTTGGTAATTAATTGAATTCAAACTTTGTTCACCCTATACTGTAAGTTCCACCACGCGTATGATTCTTTTATTTCAATCTTTCCTTAGGTTACTAACCAAAATCATTAGTATTCGTGACTTAAAATTCATATCTGTAAAAGCTTAAATAAATTCAAATGGAAGCAGAAAGTTTTGATTTGATAAGCAGTTAACGAGTTAACGGTCATTTAATACTTCAGCAATATTTTGCAGAATTTTTTAACATTTTAAAATTAAAATATTTAAAGAAATTGTGAATGTAATATTTCTATGTAAATAATTTAACATTGAATTTTCTTTCTCTTAAATTATTAAACTCAAAAACAGAAGATAAATAAAAAATAAGAAAACAAAGAAAAAATGAACAGGAAAAAAAACAAGAAACAAAGAAATTGAAATAAGTATGAAAAAGAAATAAAAGGAAACTCAGAAATTCTTCATTTGAAAGCTTAAAAATGTAAATTTTTCTAAATATTATCCAACAAAAACACAACAGGATTTTTTTTGTACTTATTTTAAGGTTGGGTGGGAGTAACTTCATAACACCAAAGCAGTCTTGTTGATCTTTGCTTCAAAATTATTTTGGGGAAAATTTTATACTTGTCTTGTTCTGTCCATTCCAGTTCCTTCTAAGAAAAATTTTTTTTTCTCATAAACAAAAATCTTGCTCTTTTCTCCAAGAAGCCATGCACAAGTTGCCACAATAGTGTTTTATGAAAGGCATTACAACAAGATTTAACAAATGGCCTGTCCGAAGTTTTTTTTTAAAAAAGCAGTAACAGATATTTTGAAATAATTCATAATTTTCTTTTGAAAGAAATGTGTCTTCATGCAAATACTATTCCTAAGAAGAATATGAAGAGATTGATGGAGGACCCACTTCCCAAAAACGTCAAATTGTTTCCTTACAAAAATAAGCATTTTCATTCTCAAGGTATAAATTAGCATACATTAAGTAAATATAAATTATCAAGCACCTTTCGGTCTGTAGAAGTTTGACAGTAGAGATAACATTAATTAAAACAATATCATAAGCTTTCATTGTCAGCAGTGTTGAAATTTCATTTCAAGCACACAGTACTAGAGAAAGAAACCTTTTGTCTCTTGTCAAGTTTCCTATACTGTCCATTCGTAAGAATATTTCTTTCTCTTTTAAGTAAGAGAAGAAATCTTTTAGTCCAAGTGAAAAAAAATAATCGAATAATACCTGTGAATTCTAGAAAAAGAAGCAGAAAAGCTTTTCTTTATTTAAAAATCATAAAACACTAAAAATATATTTACACATTTATATTTAGTTAAAAATATAGGTTACAAAATTAAATAGAACCAATTCTACATCAGGAACAAATTCAGTCCAATGTGATATTAACTAATAAAGTATTCACCCCTAGGACATCAAAATATAAAGCAAGTTTATAAAAAGCTCATAAAAACACTTTTGATATGCTCATATCAGAAGCTAAAACAAAGTATTCAATAATAACAAGCATATTCTCAAAAATAAGTTTAACTTTTCATGTATAAATGAATGCATATTTAACTTAAATACAGATAACTCATACAAACAGTATACACACTTCATAGTGTCATAAAAAGGCTGTAACAACAGTGCCCTCCTTAAGAGTTATAAAAGGAGGTAGGTTAAATGCACCACATATTTCAAGAAAATATTTCAAGTTAATGCAAAATCAAGTTAAAGATGGTATTATCCAGAACAGAACAACACACCGGTTATTTCTAGTACCATATAAGACAAATAGTTAAAAACAAATAGTGCAAAATTCTTGCAAAAGCCAGACATAAATAGGAAATCTAGCAAAACAAGAGAAACCAAATACCATGATCTCCAATGAAACCATTGCTGCTATTGGTGAAAAGACTCTAGGTAATCAGAGTTTTTACTTCAATATTTCAGTAGCATTTCTTAGGAAAGAAAAGGTGCAATCATCATCTGTCACTAAAATATTGTACTATTGCATATAATTAAATATTTGTACTAATGAATTGTTCTGTTCTGAACATATACATATTTAGCCAAACTTTAAATCTTTTTTAAATGCTTAAGCAAACAAGTGAATCAATTCCATATTATTCCTTAATAAAGATGAATAGTGTTGAAGCTATTATTACTACATACAGTCAATAGGAAAGATTATACAAAGATATAATAAAATAATATTTAAAGAGAGAATTTCTAAAAAATTGAGCTATTTTGCAACACTTAACTAATAGATGTCTAATAACATTGTCTAACTAAATGTTTATATATATGTATTTGAATTTTTGACATGTAAGGTAAAATATTTTTTTCTAACTCTAAAAACAAAGATTTAGACAATGAAAGATAAATGTTGCTACCATAAGTAAATTTCTCCTCTACAACTGTAAAAGTTCACAGCTGTGCTACTGTATTTCTTAGGGTATAACAGAGAGGCAATTTTAAGTTGGGCACTGTTACATAACAAATCCTGAGCACATAAAAATTGATAGAAAAATTTTGATTGGAATGATGAATTGTATATCTTCAAAATTTGCTCAGCAGAACAGAAAGAAACAAATAGCTTTTACTTCCAAATTATATTTGTATTTACAGGAAGAATATTTTTAAAACATATATAAAAAAACTTAAATAAGTAATATTTAAAGTTGGCTAATTTTGATAAGGAATTATTCTGTACAAATAAAATACATTGAAAGCAGAAAAGTGATAAGACAAGCATAGCAAAGATTAATATTGTAAAGTTATTTTGTAGCTTAATAAAACACACAGCAACATATAGATTTTCATGTCTATCAAATTGAATTCATTGAATGGACGATCAATTTTTTAAAAATTGAATAAAAATCTATTTTTATATTTAAAAAACATGTTTGTTTTTTTTATATTTAAATATGAAAAAGTTTTTTTTAACATTTAAATATAAAAATGTATTTTTATATTTAAAACAAAATTGGTATAGACTTCATAGATTGTGATGTACAATAGTAGAATATAAAATAAGATTATTTAGCAAAAAAGTGGAAACAGGAAACTATAATTATCGTACCAATGGCAAAATTACCACAATTATCACAGATAGTGTAATTCTAATTACTACTCTAAATATACAGAGTAAAATTAAGTGTTTTAGGAGGTTCAGTTTATTTTAAAAATTTTTACAGGAGACATTTTGATCATTTTATTTTATCAAATTTAGGAAAGCCAAAAACTAAAAATAGTTTTACTATTGATTACCAAAAGTGTTTGTTTGGATATGAATAATATGGTATTGCTTTACTGAGTTTGGTAAGAATCAGTTTTTTCTTGATGAAACAAACAGTACCTTTTTAATTTAAGAATTAATTTAATTATTCTCCTATAACTTCAAATATGTTAATATCATGTATTTTTTTCAATTAAGATTTAGTAAATTAAAAAAACCTGATAAAAAAAGTTTTTTTCCCCATTACCTGTGATTAACATTCTCTATTACTGTTTATAGTTAGACTAGAATGGAACACTCACCATTAAAATGAACTCTCTGCCTGTTCCATAAGAGACATAAATGCACCTACCTCCCCCTTTCAGTGAAAATATGCATTTTTTTCTGTAAAAAATAATGCTCTTTCTACACTTTATCTAATTTAAGAAATGATACAGGATAAAAACTGTTACTATTAATACTATGTCATGAATACTATTACTGCAGCATATTATTTTTATTCAAAGTCAACATTAACTATTGTTGTTTCTACTAATATCTGCTAAAATATTTTGAAACTTCTGTTCAAATAATTTTTTAACGATAGAATGCTACAAATTTCAATACACTCAGTTCAAGGATGTCTGTCATCCGAAGAAAATTCTATATGAGAATTTAGCATGTTTGTTATACATATGTGTTGCTTTAATATGTATATTGATTATATTTAAAAATCCTTTATTATTTAAAGACTATCAGTATTGGATACCTAATTACAAAAAAAACTTCATATAAAAGCAAAAATAATAATGATATTAACTTATTATTGCATCCATTCATCATTAAATTTCTTAAAAGTAAATATTACATATAGACATTATAGATAGCTACTTATAGTATGGCAGAACACCAACCCGATATGTATCAAATTAATGAGAATACACCATAAATTAAAAGAATACAAAAATATCTAACATAATAAAAGTATTGAATACAAATATTCAACACAAAACAGATTAACAATAAGTAGTTTAAATAAACAAAATACTAAACAAATTTTAAATAAATAATTGCAGCTATAAATTAATATGTTAATAAGATAATAGAAGCAACTAGTGGTATTGTTAAAAACTACATAGAAAGGTATTTGTTTAAGTATTCATGTACCAACATTTACAAATTACTTTAAAATATCAATTTTAGATTAGTAAAAAAATATTTCTTCTAGGTACTTTCAGCAATTAAAATCAAGATTCTTAATTTTAAAACTGCTTCAGCTCTAGAAATGTATCAGCATATATTTCAGTAACATGGTTTCAGACAAAATAAAATGTTAATTTAAGTGCATACATAAAATTAGCCATATTTTTCTGATATTGAATCAGATGGAAACTAGTGTTTTAATTCTAACATTCATATTTTTCTAATACATTCTTTAAAGCGAACCTGAATCAATTCCGGAAGCCATATAAACAATTCCGCTTAATAGTGCTGAGATCACAGTATTCAACTTTTGCTCAAAGGAGAACTTAAGAGGTAAAAAATTTATTGCATACCTGGGCATTTATAGAGATACTTTCAATACCTATTTAAAATCTAGTTCGAGTGAAGTATAACGCACTTTTTGTCATACTTAATTTTGAAAATACCATAAATTTTTTTACCAGCCTAACATGAAATATTTGATAAAAATTAAATATGTAAAACTACTAAAATAGCTATTTTACAATAACAATATATACATATATATATATATACATATATATATACATATATATATACATACATGTATATATACATACATGTATATAAACATACATATATATATATATATATATACATTCTTCTAACTTCTTTTATTG